CTTACTTCATCCTCAAATCCTCCATATCACAATGATTCATGATTCAAAGGAAAGTGACCCGTCATTTGAGCAGTGGAGGTTATTGCATCGAGTCCACAATTTGTGGTATTCCAAAATGGCAAACTACTTTTTGTTTATCCAATTTCCTTGTCTACTTTTGGGTTTAGACAGAGTTGCTTTGCAAAAGTTCATGTGGAATGAAATTTTATATACTTTAAGAAAAGCAGGAATGCATTGAGGACCTTTAATGCATTTTTTCAAGTATATTTTATTCTTAAATTGTTCGGTCTTCTTCCCTCTATCGCTAATGTCTTTTGCTGAGAAAGAAAGGAATACAGGCTTTTCCGGTTGGTAAAGTGAATGCGATTTATATTAACATCATTCATCTGCTATTCACATGTTCAGTGCAATTATGTCAAATCGGATGTACAAGGAAAGAATCAAGTTACGGTTGTTTTGGGAGGAAGAACTGTTGCGCAAGGAGCAACGAGAAAAGGAAACGGCGCCGCTGATGTCGGCTGTTAGATTTTTACGAGAAAATGAGATGTGCAAGTCAGTTTGGATAATTTTGATGCTAGTTGTAGTTCGTCTCTCTTTCAGTCCTTTATTGCTTTTCATAATTTTAAGTTTGTTTTTTTCCCATTTAGTGCTCAGATTTTGGACGAGCCTAGGGAGCCGTTGAAAGCTATGGGTCAAGCTGAGTTTACTGAACGGCGTAATAAATCAGTCAATCAGATGTTTAACAGACATAAAATGGAAGCAAGTTCTCTTTTTGGAGCACAGGTAGTCGTTGCGTTTTTTTAAGAACTGGAGCCAAGGTTTTGCTGCTTAAGTATGTTAGGAAGTCTAATGCTTTCAAGCAATGTATCTTCTTTTTTTGCTGAGTGAAAACGTGAAAGAGCATGTCGCATCTGAAGATTGAGCTTTGCTTAGCATTAAGTGGAAAAAAGCTCGTGTGATTGTTTGTATCAGGTCTCACTTGTCACAATAGCTATAACCCTCCATGGTGCAAATAGTCAATTACCTTATACCTTTCATTCTAACTATGAAACATCGCTATGGCGCTACTTTTATACTAATGTCGGTAGTAACATGCCACGACTTTTTCCACAGAGTACAGCGAAAAGATTTGTTAGGATTCTTTACATGTTTAGTAATATATATTATATCCTTTCAAGTGATATCTTTTATGTTATACGGACATGAAACTTTTCAGCGCGACATGTGGTTGTATGAGGCTCGTCGTCGTGGTCTTGACATCAGCCCGGATTGGGTTAAGAAATGTGTCCCCATCGTAAACGTGGAGAAAATGGAATTTCCCTATTGAATAATCTCATATTCTGGTAATCTGGTACCTTGAAAACGCCAGCATTCAGACTTCTTTGAATGAATGGTTTTCTATTTTGAAAATTCATATTGGGATCTTTTCTTTTTCAGCTTTCTTACTCACCTTCTTTAGTAATTTCTCCAGTTTTTCGAAGTATTGTTTTTAGAACTACGTAGCCTACTCTTACAAGCCTCTTTATATCTACCCGAGTTTTTGACCGTGTTATCTATCAAATCCTGCAATTATAATCACATAGTTATCCTAATGGCATCACCTGATTTGCTTATAGCAATTCGTTCCGCAACATAAGTCTGTCTTATTTTCCACAGTTGGAATTGCTACCTAGTGTTTCCCTTGTTGTGTATGTTGTTGAATTTACCTATGTTGCATATCAGTGTGTTAATTTCTTACGGTTGCTCTTGTTCCATAAAAGCTTCCTAGAAGCAGCAACGATATCTCTTTGTATTATCGATACAATACTTCTCAGTATGCTGTTTACATCTACTTCAAACCTTTTTTTTT